GTATAATTTTTGCTCCTATTTTTTTCTTAGCTATTTGTAGGAGGTTGCATCCACACATGTGACAATGGAATATTTAGACTCGCTGGGATATGTGATCATCACTTTCAGCTACAATGTTACTGTAACCGGTATGTATGCCAAAGTATGAATTGACCATTATCTGCTATTTGTTTATATACTTTTTTTTTTAAATGCTAGAATTGAATTTATGACTGAAAAAAGAATCTCCAAACAGCTGGGCATATACTGGCATTTGAAACTTTTGTGCTTGTAATTTACGATGCTTTAGTCTTAGTAAGTAGATTGCAGTTTAAACCCTTGTATGGATACTTTGTAAATAGAAACTCACCAGAATATCACTAAAAGATAAACTGCATTGTCCCAATTAATAACACAATATAATATTAAATTTACTCGGCATTCCACCATTCTGAATATGTATTGCCAGGCATAGGGCTAGGTGAAGAGGTCAGGACATTAGCAGTGTCATTGAGCATGGGTTATCTTGTCATTGACCCTCTACTCCTCATGATCCTACTCTTCATTCTGATAATGTATTAATGTTTTATACTTCACTATCTATATATGACAACATGCATACTGCTTTACACACCAAGGGACCTTTCTTGCCATTATGATTACACTTCATTTCTTCTAGTCAATATAGGTTTGCATAGAATAGAACCATCACAGAAATATTCTTACTTTGGAAACCTTCAATTTTTTTTTCAATCTGTTGTGATTATAACATTGAGGACATTTTGATTTTACTTTTGGATGTAATGTTGCAATGATGAACTGTTTAGTTTTTATTTACTTTTTTATCTGAAATGCTTTATTTGGTTGTGTGGTATTGTGAACTTTTGGGCAATGGTATTGTACTTACAGAAGGGCTTTGATATCATTAATTTCAATGAAAACACGGATACTTGTATATCTAATATTGGGATTTGGTATACAATTATTATTTTTATAATTTTCAAGTAAAATAGGCAGGTGTAATATATTTTTAGAGTTTGAAGGTCAGGGCCTTTAAACTATGTTTACTTTTATTAAAGTTTATTTATTGTTTATTATATTTTAGTAGACAGAAGCAAGGCAACAGATTTTTCAATGTGAATCAATTGGAAATTATAGCAAACATTTACACAAATGTGATCATGTGATTTCCAGATTATTTACTTTATATGACAGAGATTCGTTCTCAGAAGTGAAACATATTTTAGTGATAAAATGTTTTCTTTAAAATAAATAAAAAAAAATAAATAAATAAAAAAAATATATATATATATATATATATATATATATATATATATAATTTAAACAGAAAAAACCTTCCTACAAATGTAAGTTTGATGGGGCCAGTGTAAAAATAAATACTTTTATTTCACCTCTCTTCTTTTCTTTTTTTTATAATTTCCATTTTATAAATGAATTATCAGTAAAATAGGCTTAATTCAACTCCACTGAAGAAGTAGATTTAATCAATCATATGCAGTGGCATAAAAGAAATGTATTTTGCACATGATTGGATGATTGAAGTGAGTACAGATTTATTAGGTTAAAAAAATAACTAAAGGTAAAACTTTTTTTAGTTTTGGACAGGGTGGAGATGGATTAGAATACTGTACCTATTATGTTTTTATTGCTGTTTGTGCCTTTGGTAGGTAGATTTACCCTTTCTATTTGTCCCTTTTACCATTATCTTTGAAAGTGCAAGTAAAAGAAACTCCCAAATTTTGGATTGTCCCCATAAAAGCATCAGAGGGGGAACCTTCCAATGGGGACACTAGTTCTGGTGATCTTGGGGGGCTTCAAGGGATTCCCTTAATTTGCAGGTATTTTCTCTCACTTCTTGATGTGGCTATGAGACAGGACATGAATGTATGTCTCCCCAATGGAACATACATAGCAAAAAAAAAAAAACAACCTGATAGGGGTTATAACCCTCCCTACTCTATCAAACGTTTTGCCCATAGTTTTGCTTTAAGTGAAAAATTATTTACTCCTTTAGTTATCAACTCCAGCATGGGTTGGATATGTTTAGAAGCAGATATTGTCACTGCCAATTAGATGTTTGTTGGTTTAAGAATATAACCAAATTAAATGTCTGCATTAAAGTGTTACTAAACCCACAACAGTAAAATCAGACTGTATATGCAGTAAAGAATGCCTGATATACTCACTGTGGAACCTAAGGGGTTAATCCTCTGCATTGTGTAAAAAGGATGTTTGATCCTGACTTCTCTGATCCTCCCCTTCTTCCAGTGCCCCCCTCTTATCTCCTCATAAGACATATCATGTGGAGATACTCTATACATGCTCAGTTTGGTGTGTAGTGCTAGAGAAGTTTTTTTTTTTCTTGGGAGAGTGCATGTGGGCCAATCAGCACTGTCCAGACAGAAGTCAGGGGTTCTGTATCCTCCTAGAGCAGAAAGAAAAACTCCTCCTACAAGCTTTAACCAGTGCTCTGCTGAAGACTGATAGAAGTCACAAGACTGCTCTAACTGCTGATGAGAAAAGGTATTTCGCAGTTTCTATTTTCTAAAATAATTTCATTTCCATATTCTGTGTGCTGTGGGAGACCAGATATAGTGAATGCAGGGTTCTGGGTTTAGTAACACTTTAAATATTAATCCTTATTCTATTGTGTTTATTCTTAGTGAAACCAAGAGTCCAAAGAAAATATGCATTAACAAGATAATTTGCCAGTTCTGCCTAAATATGCAAAGTACCTTAAAAGAGAAGCATGGCTTTCTGAAAAACAAAAAAAACATTTATACTCAACTAGGGGGATGCTGCATCTGTCTCCTGATGGCTCTGCACTGAGAACCGAGTTCCATGACTGTCAGTGTCCAGCTCTCTGTTCTGCACCTCCAGCGCTCACTGGAGCAATGGGCTGGAGTGGGCAGGAGGGACTGGCTCAGGCTTTCTGTGGATTGCTGAGAGGCTGAGCCAGGTGCCGGTCCAGGTTTCTGGGTGGATCCCTACCATTTGGTCGAGATATTTCTGGTGCCTACTCTGTGATGTCAGCCAACAGCAGGTTTCAGCCCGCTGTCAGCTGAAAACAGGTCACAGATCCTATGATCCATAGGAGACGTACAGCCTTAAAAGCTTTGGCTATACTTCTCCTTTAAGTGTACCCTTAAAGTTGAAGACCAGGCAAATAGCTAATTACATATATAAAGTTCATACATAGGAGCTGTTTTATCTGCCCAATGATTTTCAATTTATATCTATCCAAATCTGAAATTTCACAGCTTTTCCACACAGCACAGTCCTGTCTAGAAGGTGAAGAGACAAAATCTTTTTCACTTGTATTTATAGGTCTCTATCCTTACCCTCATCCTGTAACTGGACAGTGAAAGCAGAAGCAGAATGCTGATGAGATCATCTCTCTTTCACCATGCTCTCTCCTCCTATCAGCAGGCTCCATGCACTGCATGGATTGCACTCAGATTTAAAGTGTATGCTTGGGAAAAACATATGGCATGTCACTGCAACACATGCACATTTTACTGTCTTGTCTCTTTAAAATGTTGAAAATGTAGAAACATACCTGTTTCTCTGTCACATATAAAGTGAGCTCCTGACTCCTTGTGCACTCCCCCTCTCCTTGTCTCCATAACATACTGAGAAGGTTTTTATTTTGCTTTAAAAGAAAAAAGAGAATTGGGAAAGACTGACAACACTTCTTGGGATTCCAATTAAAAGTTTTGTATATTGCATTAAATAGAAAAGTATAAAATGGGAAAATGTGCGTGTATTTCAGAAATGTACTGCATTTTTTTTATACGCTTTAAATTTGTATCATCTGGTCATCCATAACTGCATCTTCCTTTAGGAAATGCTGGTTACATTATACAGTCTGATCACTGGAGGTAGAGGAGACTGCCAAGTGCAAACAACGCTCAGAGGATCAGTCATTTGCATACGGGCTGAATAGCATTGCAGGCACAGAAAAAAAGTCATATTCATATTGGGTAGCACAATGGCTAAATGGTTAGCACTTCCGCCTGGCAGTACTAGGGTCGTTGGTTCAAATCCCAGCCAGGGCACCTCCTGTCTGGAGTTTGCATGTTCTCCCTGTGCCTGCATGGGTTTCCTCCGGGTACTCCGGTTTCTTCCCAAACTCCAAAGACATGCTGGTAGGTTAATTGGATCCTATCTAAATTGGCCCTTGTATATGAATGTGGGTTAGGGACCTTAGATTGTACGCCCCTTGAGGGTTAGGGACTGATGTGAATGTACAAAATATATGTAAAGCGCTGTGTAAAATTTGACGGTGTTATATAAGTACCTGAAATAAATAAATAAATATTCAGTTGATCACCAGGTCATTTCTTTTTGTAATCTATTGCTTTAAAAAAGCATCATGTGTATCTATTGTGGAAACTTGCAAAGGACAGTTTATGCTTTTTTCCTGGGGAGATACTTTATGCTCATTTCATGCAGGACAAAGCATCAGGTTCACTTAAATCCCCTCTCCCCAGCAGTCTTCCCAACTGCCCTAATACTCATTTCTGCTGCCAGGAGGAGCCACCCAATGTGAACTACACACTCTCCCTATTTGACTGCAATGCAGCTTGGAGTGTAGTACAGCACCACCACATGCAATGAGTGAGATGCTCCCCCATTGCTGGAAAGCATCAGGTATTTTTTTTGTTCCTGTCAACTGAATGGAGCAGAGGGAGAGTGAAGGAAAGATGATTATGAGTTCCTGGCAAGAGGGCATAGCACAGGTTGGTTCATGGGCTGAAATTCACTGTCTGTTTTAGTTATGTGGTCCTTGTCTTGCTCATTTCTTTTTTTCCTCAAGCATGTTTGAAATTGCTTATGTTAGGACTATTTCTTTTATTTTCTAAATTGCTCACAGAAAATGAATATACATCAAATACATAAAATATGAATGGGGATCAATGGTGTGATTGTTGTCCAAGATGTTGGGTTGCTAATGCACAGGTTCTTCTTATTTTTCAGGGAAGATCTGGTTGACGTTAATGATCCTCCTCAGACTAGTTATGGTTGTCCTTGCTGGTTATCCGCTCTATCAGGATGAACAGGAACGCTTCATCTGCAATACATTACAGCCTGGATGTTCCAATGTGTGTTATGATATCTTCTCCCCAATGTCCCACATGAGATACTGGCTGATTCAGACTCTGATGGTCTTTCTGCCCTATTGCTTGTTCAGTGTCCATGTCATACACAAAGTTCTGGCATATATGGGAAATACAAATGATCAGTGCAGAAAAAGTTCCTCCTCCACTTATCATGGAGTGGGCTTGCAAATGGAAATACTTGATTTTTCTTGGGCTTATTTAGTTCATGTTCTGCTAAGGATTTGCCTAGAGGTTGGCTTTGATGCTGGTCAGTATTTTCTTTTTGGAATTATAGTTCCAAGCAGATTCAGCTGTTCCCATTCTCCCTGTACCAGCAGCGTTGACTGCTACATCTCAAGACCCACTGAAAAGTCTCTTATGATGATTTTTATCTGGGGAACAGGAATCATCTCTCTGATTCTGAGTTTGGTGGATCTGATTGGAGTCTGTCACAGAAGACGAAGGTCAGACAAGCTTAAAAAACAGCTTCTCCTTCTGGAAAATGATTCTCTAAAAGGGGGTTGTTGTTCAGATACACCTCCACATGCAAAGTTAGCTGTCACGCCAGATCAAATGATTGTGTATCCTGATTGTCCCCTCACACAGCCTGGAGAAAAGAAACGAGCAAGTTAAAGGAGATTCTCATTCTCTACCTTCATTTGAAGGTGAAACAGCTTCTTTCCAAACTGACAATTCTCACCAAGACATGGGAAAGTCTAATGTGAATGCCAACAGCAATAAAATTTGTTCGTGGCAAGTGACCATGTCAGCGAATGGAAATAACAAGCTAGGGAATGAACATCAACTGCTGACCCACCGACAACCAAAATCCAAGAAGGAGAACAGTTCTGCAGCTAGCTTGGTGGATTCACCTCAGCTAGAAAAAAACATAGGCCCAACAAACAAAAAATCTGAATGGGTTTGAATTCAGGTAATGACATAATAAAAGGAAACCTTTCTAAAAGGGCTATTTCCATGGCATCATAGGACCTGAAAGTCAGGATATTTGTGTGATGTACATCTGAGCAGGCCTCACACCAACTGTAATGCTATTATTATAGGACCTCCCAAAATAGTGCCTTGAACTGAGTCATGATATTGCTGGGGGTGTGGCCAAGAATGGAAATGAACCGGCCAATTGTTAAAGGCTAGATAAGTACTTTTGTATATTATTTGCTAATGGGTTTGAGATTTTCAATGATACCTAGAGCAGTGGTCATTAAACTAACATTTTAAAGAAGTTTTATTTTTCCATACACACAAACCATTTACTTTGCTATCTCCTTATGTGTTTGTGTTCTTTTTCTCTTATATGCTGTACAAATTAAATTTTTTCTTGTTTTCTTTTGCAACCTTAAAGTGGAACTTCATTCCCTCAATCAACATTGACTATTTTTAATCCTTATGCTGCTAGCATTAGTAAATGGATAATAAAATATATCATAATTACTTGTTTTAAGCTTTGTTTTTACATTTCTTCAGTTACTCTCTGATCTCCATGCCTAGGCAAATGATGTTGTACAACCCAGAAGTCTTCAGGAGGGGAGGAGGGATTTTCTCAGCTAAGCACACACCACATAGATTCCAGGAAGTAAATGCTACATGAATCATTTGCCCTAACGCAAGATGGCCACAGCCAGAAATGCTAGGGGGTATTTTTCAAATTGATTTCTCAGCAAAATAAAGCATGGAGACATGGATGGATGAGGGAGTTTGCTTTGAACATGAAAAATGAATGAAATAGTGTTTTTGGTTTGCGGTGCTCAGATGCTGTGAAGTTCCGCTTTAAGCAGGCAACACATATTACAATGTCCTATTTTTTCTCCTTTCATCAGAACTCTTGGTTTTATTACTATCCACAATACACATTTTTGTTAGCTATTTCAATATTTCACTACAGCTGTTAACAAATTTCATGGCTTGAAATGTTTACTTTCACATACTCCTAGCAATTTAATAAAACACAGGGCATTATGTAAACCATGTACAAAAAATAATTGAAGAAAATCACTTATTAATTAGAGCTCAAGTGAAAATGAAACATTTTCCTTAAAAAAAATAATCTGTAAACCATTAATAATTAGTGAAACCCGGAGATTTCCCTTCACTTCGTGTCCTGGAGACAGAAAGTATGTTTTCAAGTTGAACTTAGTACTTTCCTACTTTTTTCTCTGAAATGCATTCTTCATATATTCTTTTGCAGAGTGATCTTGGGGATTGTGGTACAGTCAATGGGGTTGATTTCCTAAATAAGTGGTCTCCAAACTGCGGCCTTTTGTTGCCTTGGGCCACTGTTCCTGCCACTGATAAAAGGCACTTTTCCTCTCACTGACACCAATGATGAGGTACCATTCCTTCTACTGACACCAACTGTGGGGCATATGCATCCCACTGACACCAGGAATGAGCCACTATTCCTTCCACTAATACCAGTTCTGGGGGACTGTTCCTCCTACTGACCACAGGTTCTATGTACATTTCTTAACTCCCACTCACCACCAAACCATAGACACTGTTTACTCCCACTGACACTGGGCCATTTTCTACTCACACTGGCCCCCATAAGGTCTGAGGGACTGTACACTGGACCTATTTTTAGAAAGCTTGCAGGCCCTTTGTCTTAAAGCAAATATGCTGTTCACTTTGCAAGGAAATTTTCATTTTGCAAATTCAATTTTTCCTTAGCTTAGTGAATGTGGTAGAAATTAACTTTGCGAAGAATTCCCAATCACATACAAGGACATTAAAAAAGTATTTTTGCTTGCACATGATTGGATGAAATTCCCTTGCAAAGTGAAGAGCCTAAATAAGCCCCAATGGCTCTTTTTGGACTAAAGCTGAACTATATGATACTAGTGAATTTGCACCATATCATACCAATAAATATATACATTGTAACTTTTAAATTGTTTATATTAGCATGTCAGAGTTTTAGAAAACTAGCTTTTTTTTTTTATTACAGTTTCAACTCATAACGTGTAGCTACATCTGGGCACCAGGAGGAGGTATCTAGCAAGAGGCTATGTTAATTCCTCTCTATGCACAAGGCCACTAGAAATGACTGCAATTCCCATCATGCAATGGAAGGTTTAGTAGTGAATGGGCATAAATGGGGTGGAGTGAGATTGTGGGCAGGTATGTTTCCAATCTAAACCTTGCTGAGCAGGACAGACCTGGGGTCCCTTGGCCTGTGCATCAAATAATGTTGTTAGACACAAATGATGTTAGTGGGCATCTCAGACCAATTACAGCAGGTGGCAATATAATTATATCACAGCTTGCTTGCAAAGGACTACACTGGGGACATTACAAGACTGGTAGTTGTGGGGCAAGCAGGCAAAGCAGTAGAAGGTTTTATGAAGCGGATGTAAAGGAGAGTAACCCCTTGCTAATGTTGGATTAATGTAGGGATTGATCTATTGCTTAATACTGCATAGCATAACGCCAAGAAAACTAAAAATTAATATATGAACTATTTATTAATGGAATACAATGTCGGTTGGGAGTTTAGCTTTAACCCTAGCAGAATATTGAGAATGCACTTAAGAGAGAAGAAACAAGAAATTCATCACATAGCAATTCCTTAGTTTCACCAGAACAAGAAGGGGGGAGTGTTTATTTTGCCCAAATCTGATAATAATATGTATAATATTAAGAATAAAATCCTTTAAAGTTGTAATTTATTTCAATGTAGACTTTTATGGTTGGGCATGGTTTTTTTTTATTTTTCAATTAGTTAGAATTAGAGTTATATTATCTTTATTTATCGTAATTTATAATCACATGAATTAACATGCAGTTTTTCTGGACAGTGTTGTAATCATTTTTTTCTTAATATTGTGATTGATGGAATTTCCTTCTAGCAGATATAATGAGATTGGCAAATTAAAACCATATAGCATGAATGTTATTCTCTAAATGTACTTCAGTGTTATTGAAACTTAAATAAAACTGAAAATATATGTATTACTGTGCAATTTGTGTGATTTGATTTTGTTATCTTTCATCTAAAAGTTATTTTTTAGACCTATTCAAAACATTAATGGGACTTTACTGGTACAATCAGTGGACAAGCTTGTGTTTGTACATTTACATGTTTATTGAAATATATCTTCCAATGACAATCTATAAAAACAATATTTGGCTAATCAGCCCAAATCATAACGGCATATTGTTCTATGGCATAAGTATCCTCCAAAGGTCGACGCGTTATGCTTGTTAGCTTCTTCAGGACCCCAGAATTGGATGCGAAGAGATCAAATGCCTTAGCTGGAAGATGTACATATATATATATAAACCATTAATCATACAATACTAATATCACAAAAACACAATAAACCTTAAAAGATCATTCTCCCAAACTCACATGTCAACATAAACGGTGATGCGGAACAGCAGTACTCACACTGAAAGTCAACAAAATGGTCTCAAGTGAGCGTCCATATCCACAGCCCCTCCCCTTTGTCCCCAATCAAATGGAGTCCTGTTCAAAGGACCAAAGGAAAACAGTCCAAATAAGAAGGGGGATAGAACAAAGAAAAAAGAAAACAAGGGGGATAATAAATCCCAAACATAATCAACAATCGGTCACCCACTTACTCAAGAGACAAATAGCAGATAAATTCATATGTGGATTTATCCATATAAAGTATATTCCATGGATATGTTCCAAGATGTAATCTAAATATAACAATATTTAAAAATCAATATAGGAGTGTCCACATGCTGAAAATTACACAAGCATCCGGCAAGCCGATCCCAGACATCTACCTAATCCTCCCAATATGGCAAAAGAGGTGCATGGAGAATCCAAAACCAGAACTCAGTATTGTATAGTACAGATATATCATATATATCAATACACAAAGTCTTCTGAATCAGTAGCTCCTGTAATCACACAACGAAAGCCATGCTCAATAATCCCCCAATAACTGCTCTGTCCATCATATCAATCAACATGTCTGGTACCTCTAAGTCACTGCATAACATCATCCGCCCGACGTGTATGATTCCCAAATGATGCCAAAAGTGGCATTCGGCGAAGCGCCTAAATAGTGTCATCAGCCGGAGACAAAGACTAAATTACTTACGTCACCTCTGTCCTGATCAGCCGCAGGGCGGAAGTGAATCGCGTACCCCAGCGGTATCACTCATCACTCATGCTCCCCTACAATCACACATCACTTCTGCCCTAACAAAACAATGGCTGGAAGTGCAGCACATTCACAATGAAAGCGCACATAGCGCATGTGTGTGCGCGTCATCCTCAATCCACAGCACAGCCCCACAGTCTTATCACCTATGGAAAATAGCAATAAACACCACCAGAACAGCAATAAACAGCGGTAAAACAGAGCAATACCCAGCAACCACCACGTCAGCTCCACCACCGCAGGAGACCCTGGACTATAAAAGTCCAGTCTCCCAGATATTATCCATAGCCAGCAGCCCATGTTGCTCATATTAGCTAACACCAACAGAAAGAGGGGAGACAAATATAGTTATATTCCCCATATGCCCACAACAACAATGCCAGCAGCATGCACATCACCATTACATGACACATGTTGGAGCAATATACATACATACAAACATAAAAATAAAGCCAAATACAAATTCATCATATACTTAAC